CTCAACTATCGTACATCTGGACGCCTTTCGTCGGATGCTGTCCTAACATGGTAGATTTGGCACCCGTGAGCATTTATATCTGAACATGTGCTAAATAGCAACTTAGCCCCTCAAACTCGCCCTATTGCCAGACTCTGACCTGGCCAGAAACCCACGCGGTAGCGTATGGCTGCGGGACTGTGACGGCGATAGAGACTGTGTATTTCACTGCCAGTATTTCATCGCCGCTACCGCCTACAAATACAACCACAACGACCTCGGAAAGCTCATCAGCTCCATCCTTCCCACCAACTGTGCCAACAACGTCAGGGATCCCTCCCGCCTTAGGAACAATTGGTCAGTCAAGCTACCTTTTGAACCCTTACATATAGGCATGGCGTACTTCTGTCAGTTCGAGCCAGTTCGAGAACGTTGTAGCCGACCTAACCTCACCGGGTTCTGGTGTAATCCATGTACTGACTGTATCACCGATCGACAGGCTTAACTGTTGCCCAGAAGGTGGGCATCGCGGTAGGGTCGGCAGTGGCAGGATGCATACTTGCCGGAGGATTATTGTAAGATCTATTTTGTATACCCGAATTCAGCTGTACTTTACTAACACGTCATCTAGTCTATGTATATGCGACACAAGGCGACAAAAAGCAGACATACACGCACTAGACAACTCGACGGAAGCTCGCTCACTAAACCAGGAGATGGCTGAAGTGTTGGGCGAGACAAGAGTTCAGAACTAACAATTTCATCGAGTTGAATGATCAATATGGGCCGAGTGTATTCCCTGACCATTTTAGCTATATCTGGGGCATCTATATCCAAGCGAGTATTGGTGTAAATGTTCATGTGCAGATGTGAGTATCAATAATTGGAACGTGCATAGGCGATACACCGGGACTGACGGTGTTCCATTATTTCGGGTGCTTGGCCACTGGGACATGAGCTGGGTTAGGGTTAGGGTTGGGCGCGAATACTTTTGTGTGTTAGTACCCCTTATATCTTGTGACAGCTGGTCAGCTAGTTTCCAGGGTTTGTCCGAGCTCTGTACGGGTATTGGAGAGTATGACTAGTATCCAACGGTACCCTCCGCAATGAGGGGGAAAACTATGACACAGAGCTACTTTTTATTAACTAGCTCTATAGTATTCTTCTTAATCTTCCCCCTTATCTCTTTTTTCTTTCCTATATTCTTTACTGCCTTATTAAGTTTTTTAACTTTTTTAGTATTTTTAGCCTTTAATAATATATCCCTTTTTTTATTAATATCCTTTATAATAATAGCCTTTTTAATATTATTCTTTTAGGCCTATTAGCTTTAATCCTTAAAGTTATAATAGGTAACTTACTTATATTAGGCTTATTACCTTTTTTAGTACTAGTTATAGTTATAGTTATTAACTACTGACCGAGTCTAATATCAGTAAGTGCTTCAGGGAGCAATGTAAAGCCGGAGACCCATAAGTAGCTGCGTTATTTACAAAGCGATTTATTTAAATTAGGAGTATAAAGGTAAAATAGGGTGATTATAGGGAAGATAATAGGCTTTATAAAAGTTAGGACTTTATTACTTTATATTATATTAGATTACTCTGAGTTTTTTAGGGTGTAACTTACGCCACGTGGTCGTAAGTTACCGTTATTATTACGTGTATCTTTAACGCGCAGAGTTACAGGCTTTTACCGGCGTGTAAGGTTATAAATCACCTCTTAAGCTAGTGGATTTGACGCATCGCGATGTGTGTACTGTTTTTTTAATTATATATTACTGTTAAATTAGCTAGGTACAGCTATTAATTATACTACTAGTGGGTCCTGGTGATTAACTAGCCTTTTTTTTATTTTTTTTATATTAATTTAATGACTAGTATCCAAATTATTGGGAATATACATCTGCATGGTGCACCCAGATCTTGAGAACAGAAGTGGCAGCATCTACTTGGCAGCTTCCTCGAGCTATTCCCGGAGGAGTTAAGAGATGGAATGGACTAGGCAAAGGCTGTGGGGAGAGGTCTAAATCGGCTAAAATTACAACACTGGTTTGCTTGCCATGCTACTATGTGAGATTAGTCAGTCTTTCAACTCATCCCATAGTCAAAGGGCGTCCTAAGCATGGCATTAGACACCATGATATGTCCAACTCTCAAGACGTACAAACCTACGCTTCGATACTTGAAAGTCTATTTAGGAAAATGAATCTGCCTGCTGGGGCTGTCCTCATCGTGATGAATGGAATTGGCTGCTTTCAGTAGCTTTTGGATACGCTTCAAGCCACTCGTCCCTGGTGAATTCTTGCGCATTATCCCTGAAGAAGTTCGTCATTCGTGCATTCATATCTAGGTGGCGCGTCAGACTTTGGTCAAAATTTCGAAATGGCATGCAAGAAAACTTGCCGTCAACAGTCATTGGTACCGCAGGCTGAAGGGAGTAGTGGTCTGACCGCTCATGGACCAAGATAAGGTCGTCGGGAAGTCTAGTTCCTTTATCGCGTTTGTTAGCATTGGAACCCGCCCGATCGCGGTGGTGAACTGGTTGCCAGCTTACCCTTAGGAACTGAATACACGATCATATCACTGCCCCGGAATCGCCAGGACACTAGAGATTGTTGGTAGGGTGAATTGGGCCGCATCGACGCGCCGTTAGGGGCTACAGCAAAGTTCAGTCCGAGGAAATCCTGTACGTGGCTCAATCGTTTCCTTGTCGCCATCACGAACCTGCATAGCTTAGTGGGTCGAGTGCCTTGGGCTTAACGAGTCCGTTTTCTGCAAAAATATCGTAGCTATGTCGTCGAGGTGACCAGACGCGCAAATTGATTGTACGGCCATTGTTCACCCGGAAAAGTTGTTTTGGGAATCGTTTGAACACAGCAATTAGATGAGAGGCCTGCATTGTAGATTCAATCTGGTCAAGACTGAGAGAGAATAAGGGCCCCAATTCGTTTGTAAGTCGGTCACGGGATCCTCACTCGCTGCGCAATATCTTGGGTCACAGCCTCACAGGATGCATGGAGAGGACGATGTCTGGATAGCTCAAGCTGGGACATGGTGGTCGAGTGACTCCAGAGCTCCGGAGTCAAGAATTTTCCGGCACCGACTGCACTTCACAGAGACAATTGAACGCCGGCAGCGTTTGATAATCTGGAAGCCAATAAATGTCTGGTATATTAGGCAGCATTGCTGATCATGAGGCTCAAATGGTTCATCTCGCGAATTAAGCGCTCACCAGCCCTGCGTGTCTTCACAGGGATATTGTGGAGCGAATTCATCCAATCACAACCGCGTAAAGAGCGTCGGCAAAACTTCATGCCGAGCCCCTTGTCACTGCATTTCATCTGTAGCTTCCGCCCGAGTTTACTGGTACCTGCGAATTGATTAATGGAATACTCATCGTCTCGTCATGATTGGACGCGTTTTTAGCTTTTCCAACTTGCGCCGACAGCCGTACATGCTACTTCGGCGGCAATTTTCGGTCAAGGCGATATACTCCTCGTTTCCTGCCACGTTACACTACTACTGTCCGCGCCGCACCTCCAGCTTGTTTGACCACCAAGAGACCGAGAGCCGGCCCGATGACATATATGACGAGGGAGTAACCATACACAAGAACGGTCTTGTATATCCGGCCGTCGACGTGAGCTCGGGTTCGTGCACAAGAGGCTTCTGTCAACTGGTAGCACTAACTGGTCACCAGTGTCGAATGGCGCAGTCATGCTTCCAAATACCTTCTTGATGCAGGAACTGGTGCGTCGACACTTTGATGAAGCTCTTGATCGTGAGGACGAAGGCAAACACGTTGAGACTCCATTTATCTACACTCTTCCCAAAGGTATAAACAAGGTTCTGCCACACACTTGATGTCCTGGAGACTGAAGCGAAGTTGTACAGGGACGCAAATACCCAGCCATCTCATTCTCATCAACGACTTTGGTTGCCATTTCTCTCTCCAGCCATCGCGCGGAATGCTATTAAAAGGTTATACTCTAATATGCCGAGCTAAAGCATTAAGCAATGTACTCATCTTTGCTAGATTTAAACCGATCATTAGACGAGTTCTACAATAATCACGCCCGGAAGGAGACGGCGGAGGACTGGCTGGATGCACATCCCTTTCAACAGGCGGTAGCAGATGATGCTGATGCTGTCTGGATGGCCAAATGATGCAAGGCAAGTAGATGGACGCATGAATAAGCGATGAAATTTAAACCAGCTTATTGATGTTGTGAGAAATGCGCCTCGAGCACAGGATAGACGAATCGTATATGACACCCGCTGTGCCCGGATAAGCGATGGGTGATGAATAGCCTCTCCTATCAAGGGGCAGACTTATTAGCCCAAACTGTACCCTCAGCTCTTACTAGAATTTTGTTCGAGTCTGGATGCGCGGGACAGGACAAAACATACTAGTCATCGTCGATTTTTCAAGTCGTCTTATGAGGAGTAGAAAGTATATTCATTGCAGTAGTGATGAAGGCGCTTCTGGGCATCAGGAATGCTACTCTTAGTGGTGTTTCGCCCTTATACTGTTCCTTTCCGACGTACATCAGCCCGTTCACTGATACGCTGTCACACGGAATTGCACGGGTGTTACACAGGGGCTATGACCACGAGAACAAGGGCACAAGGCTCACCAACTTCTTGGTATAAATAGAGCTCTTTGAGTCATCTACGCCTTTAGAGAACCAAGAATCTTCGTTACTCAAGACTGTTATCAGATGAATCGAGTCATTACTCCAAGCCCTTTGCTAAGCCCTTGTGTTACACGGAGGTCACGTTGCCATCAAGGCACGGGCCGTACCTGATGGCCTCGCAATCTTTGCGCCGTTGGCAACTGCCCCAAGCCCTCCATGCTCTTGCCATGGTTGTTGGTCGCAGCAGATCACGGTCAGAGCTTGTGGCAAGGGCTTCTCCGCGCTTCTGCCTCTCGACTCTCGACTCTCGCCGAGATTCTTCCCAAAGTTTGGATCTAATCATCGCCTCATCAGCCCACGCATCTCGAATTGCCGACAAACCATGACAGATTCTCCACCACTCGGAAATGTCTCCTGGAAAGGTGTTGGGGACTATGGGGAAGAATACGCCGAGCGTATTCACAAGTTCATTGACAAAATAGACATCAAAGCCCTAGAATCCTATGCCTCGTCAATTCGAGGGAATCAGCCATGCAAAATTTCCACCGAGTTCTCGGTGGGAAACTTCAACCTCGTGCGCAAGATCCAGTTCCATGACGGCGTCGAGTGGATCGTGAGGCTACTGATGCCTCCAGTGCCCGTGACAGGCCAGCTCGTCGAGACAGTCTCTCCCAAAGCCCGAGAGAAGCGTCTTCTGAGCATGCAGTCTGAGCTTGCGACCATGGAGTTTGTGCGGTGAGTTGGCAAAGCCCCATACTCTACTAGACATCCCGATCCCAAAGATCTATGCCTATGAGCTGAATGAACAAAATGCCGTTGGATGCCCCTTTTTCATGATGGAATATGTCCACGGCAACACCGCCGAGGAGGTGTCCCAGAGCTATCCTGGCAACCGAGAAGGCATCCCAGAGCCGTTTCGAGAGAAATTTTGGCGCCAAATCGCCAACATTATGACCCAGCTTGCTTCCGTCCGCCTACCACGAATCGGCTCCATCGTTCAAGGCGCCGCAGGCTCGTTCGTTGCAGGACCTCTGATCGAGACAGGCTCGGGGCCGTACGATTCTGCTGCCGAGTTCTACGCCGACTATCCCCTGGCACTGGGCAACAGTCTCGCAGAGAGAGAAGGGCCAGTCGATGGACAAGGCGAAGTAATCCAAGCATTTTGCTCCCTGGCTGCCTCCTTTCCGCCTCCTGCAGCCAGAGCAGAACGTGGCTCCGCTGAGGATTTTGGCCTTGCCAATTACGATCTTAATCCGAATAATATCCTTGTCGATCAGGAGTTCAACGTACTCGCCGTGATTGACTGGGACTCCGTGGTGTCAGTACCCGATGCGGCACTTTACCGTTTCCCCTATTTGATGGGTGTCAAATGTGCTGTCCCTGGGGTTGTTAGCACAGAACGCTTGGAATTGAAACGGGAGGCGCTCAGCCAGCAATTTGCCGAGGTAGTTGAGGCCTGGGGAAAAGAGCAACTGGAAAAGGAATTCCGAGGCGTGAACAAGCGGCGCATGTACCTTTTTACAAAGTCGGGTTTTTTCTCCAAGGAGGCGGTGGCATTCCGCTCGCTGATCGCTGTCCGACATGGGCAGGATTGGGTCAACGAGGAATGGATACAAGGTCTGGCATGGCTGAGTGATCGAAATGAGGAGCAATTGGCACGTTTCTATCTTGAGCAGTAATTCTTGGTACACTAAAGAACAGAACAGCGTTCGAACTTTTGTGTGAGCTATGGAAATGGTAAACAACCAACAGAAGGCACCAGCTCGACAGCTCTCCTCTCCGCCGGAACACTTCTCGCCGGGTTACACTAGAGACGCGTTGATGCCCGGCCGACGGATAACGCTCATACAGAAGATACTCACCAAGCTGAGTGTCTGGACGGGAAGTTGTGCTGCCAATGTGGCATCGGCTCAGCGCAGCCAAGGAACTCGAGGACCTCCTCTGGGTAGTTTGGAATTGAGTGTGTAGAGAGCTTGACAGGTGGCCCGCGTCCAAGTACCAGCCCGCGTTCTCAAACCTGACGTAATTTCAACGCGCCGGCTCAAATTGTTGTGATAGCTCGGGCGGCGGCCATTAAGCAGCATCTGTCGAGGAGTCTGGCGGCTTAAAGCGCAAATTGTTTCCGGATTATGTGTACTGTACGCCCAGAAGGTACCTGTCACACGGATGACACGTTGCCATGAAGGCACGGGCCGAACCTTGAACCCGACGATAGTTACACAAGGGCTCTGATCACGAGACCTAGGGCAAGGCTCCTCACCGCCTCTTGATATAAATAAAGGTCTTCCGCCCTCAGGGCTTCAAGGAAAACTAAGGACCTTTGATATTAAAGCAAAGTATTAGTTGAATACGAATGTTGTTCCAAGCTCTATAATAATAGCCCTTGTCACAGTACCTCACAATTCGTCTTTAAGTATATCGCCAATGAAGATCTTTTTCGAAATGGCGGTAGAGGGATTGCTAATGAAAGAGAGAATAGACAACTCGCAGTGCCATACTGAGGAGCTACATGCTCTTTATTTGTGAACTTGCGTACAGTGTCATGAGAAATCTCATCAGCATCCAAAGGGCCCTCCACAACAAAGTAAATTACTACGCTATTGTACTCCCATCGGAGTTCAACCAAGCATATCACATTAGAGACATGGAGACCCCGCGCGACTTGAAGGTTTGGCTCCGTCGTTTTAGCTAATCTTGAAACCCTGGATGAGCCAGTCTGTAGTACAGAGTACGCGGCACTTGGTGTCTGAAGGTCTAAGATGAAAGCCCTAAAATCCCGGGAAATTGACCCTTTTTATACCCTGTTGGAGCCCCTGAAAACCCCTGTGATAACCTTCATCCTAGCCCTAACTCGAAACCCTAGAAAAGCAAATATCGTGAGCCTTGGACCTCCAAATTTTCAATTATTGCCTCTTGGACCTTGAATCATTGTCTTCTTGACTCAACAGCTGTAGGAGGCAAAAGTGAACCTCTTGACATATTGCTATGAGCTTTTGAGCGGTAACAAAGCTCCCTGTCTTCGGGACTAGGCATTCATATCTCGCAAGGTGAACAATACTGAAAAAGAAGACGATGCCGAAGATATTCATCGAAATGAAAAGTACTCATTCCACCTAGCGCCAAAAACTCCATATGCTTAATATAAATGTCACTAGTTTACATGCCTCTAGCGTCGAGCCAGATCTTTCACAACTTCCTTACACGTGCTTATCTACCATCAGTGTAATTCCATACCAGGGAGCAAACGGGTCCATATTGACAGACTTGTAAGAGATACCCAACGGTCCGTCTTGAAGGGCATATTAACCGTAAGCAATTGCAGCCTTTGCTTCGTCCCCGACTCGCAGTCCCTCTTCGGTGTAGCCTGTCTCGTACAAACTCCAAAGCAACGAAGCCCACGTGAAGTTCGAAAAGCCGCCCTGTAGATGCCCAATGCCCGCAAGAACCACCGCTTCTCGTGGAATACCATGATCAAGTGCTTATTCTGACTGTTGTGTCATGTCTCAGCCCAATTCAACAGGATGTGGTTGGTGCATGAGTTCTGCAGGCCGGTATGCGGAAGATTGCATAGCGAATGATTTGTTCTGCATTTCGTGCCGCAATTCTCGAATCTCGGCGTCCTTCTTCGATCTGTATCGCAAGAACATGGCGCCCGAGGCAATAATAGCCAGCGCACCAACTCCGATTCCAACTCCTATGCCTGCTTTGGCCCCCGTAGTTAGGCCGCCGTCAGATATTTTGGGTTGCTTAGAATCTGGGCCAGAAGTAGGAGTACCCATCGTGGTAGCTGTGCTTGAAGAGGATACCGTGGTTGTAGTGGATAATGTTGTCAAGCTTGACGAGGTACTTGCTGGGCCGGGGGTTTTGTCGACGATGGTAAAGTAGCCAGAACTCATCGAACCGGGAGCAGATTGGTTTCCCTGGGCATAGGCATTTGGAAACAGCCAAAGGAAGAAGCGCTTGGAGTAGGTCAAGTCCAAGTTGTCCACAGCGATTGTCCAGTCGAAACTAGATGCCGGACCATTGGTTACGTCTAAGAGCAGAATTAGCCCAGTGGTGATACCTAGGGGGAATCTCTCGTCACTCGATCATCATGACATGTATTGATTTCCTCCCTTCTGCTTAATTTAACGTTGGGTCGAAGGGTAGCTCAACTGCACCAGTCAAAGACACTTGATGAGAATAAAATGAAGGGCTACGTACTCGAGATGACGGGTCCCAATATGGCGGCACCACCATCGGGAACCTGCTGCCAGAGGGCAATATTATACGCCTCAAGGCTGGTTTTGTAGGAGACGCTTATCTGACCTCCGATTGTGAATATAGCCCCGGACTTTGGGTTGAAGAACTGGCTCAACACCGACGGCACAGCGGCGAGCACGAGACCAAGGATGAAGCCAAGCATAATGGCGTGAAAAGCATGAGCATGACGATGGGACAGAGTACAGCCGGGTCAACCATTATACAAGTCATGGGGAGACGCGGGGGCGGGTAAGCCCTCGTTATCCCGCTGCCATGGCGGCATCATCAGCCTCGTTTTGACTGCGTTGGTCAACATCTGGAGTTGAGTGGTACTCCCTTGACATCAACATGATGCAGGGCGTCCTTGGCCAATGAATAGATACAGGGGGGAGGGCTCAGGGTCCCGTGTCGGTCGCTTGCCGAGGGTCGAACCAGTAATAATCATGGCATTCCTGGATCCTGGCGCCTGCTGAAAACTGTCCCGTGTCTTGGCGTATTTTTCTGGACATGTAATTTCGATTCAACTAGTCATTTGCTAGGCCTTGCCGCCGGCGCTGGCTATCCATGCTTCAAACATGCGGCGGCACGGCGTTCCTTCTCACACAGCTTGGTGAGCAGACCCTTGGGTTGATTGAGAATTGCAAACGGCGCGACTTGACTTGTCAATATTTTTGACCCCGGTCCAACACCCCAAACGGACTTGTCAGCCGGCTCTGTCGGCATCCCGAAAGGGATGGCCAGCGTTTCGAGCAACAAGTCGCGCGTCCCCCGTTGGTGCAAGAGTCTGGTTTGAAAAGGGGGGGGAGGAGAAATTTGCATTCGCCGACTTCGTATCGTACTCCATAGCCTGACCGTGGTGGAGACATTCAGTCCAACGTCCAACAAAGAGCCCAAGGGTTAGGGTTAGAGTCAAACGCTGTGCAACATGACACATGACGCATGACGGATATGTTAACCGATGAATGGTGGAGACGGTACGTTGTACATTTGGACAGATCACTTATTACGGCGTTGTTCTATTATAAGTTACTATCCACCATGGCTAGTCGAACCAACATATCGTCGTCCCCCGGCCCTCTTTGCTTTCTTCTCCTCCTCCCGCCATTGACATTGACCCAACCCTCCTTGATGCAAGCGCCGCAAACTGTCAAGTGCGCAATGAAGACGGAGAGCAATACTATGCTTGGGTTTCTAGGGCGGCGAGTTCTCTGGCCTCTGGGCATCTTGATTTTCATTTCAGCTCTTTTCACTCTGCAACGAAGGCATTTCACCGATGGACCCAGCATCGCACATTCCCGGTCCTCGGACAAAAGCGACAGCCTCAAACACGTTTTCAACTCGACGCTCGGGGTAAGTGGTGACTCTGCACTGTCTTGTTTCCGTGCCACCTCTTCTGGACGACTTGTCTCAGCGGTGCCGTCTTGGCTAACGGGCAGTCTAATCATTGCGGGTTCGTAGTTCCAAGACATCCTTGTTGTCGGCATGCCATCCCGGACAGATCGTCGCGACGGCATGATACTCGGCGCCGCTCTCTCGGGGCTTAAAATCAACTTTATCGACGGCGTGAAAGGCGAAGACGTCTACGAAAAGGCAATCCCGGTACCCGAGGATCGTAATAACCACCTCAAGGGTCCCGGCCTGGGCTCCTGGCGGGCTCACATGAACGCCATTCACGAGTAGGCACTTTTTCTTCTCCTTGAATGCTCTCTATTCTTACCACAGAGTCCCTGTCTAACCGTTTGGGACCTTGACGCAGCGTCGTTCGAAGAAACTTGTCGTCGGCGCTGATTATGGAAGACGATGTAGACTGGGATGTTAGGATTCGCGAACAGCTTCATGACTTTGCGGCGTCGAGCCGAGCGCTCACCCAGCCCTTGCGACACCAGCCTGGCCAATACGCCGATCCCACATACCCCAACCCAGTCGAGGGCTCGCCAAAGAAGGTGCCCGACATGAACTTCCACAGCCTTCCCGACACCGTGCAGCCTCTAATGTCCCCGTATGGAGACAACTGGGACGTCCTTTGGCTCGGGCACTGCGGCATGCATTTTGTGTTTGAACACAGCAATCTGATAGCCAAGGGCCGCGTGGTCAAGGAGAATGACGTCTCGGTCCCGCCCAAGAAGAACCTCTGGTCCATCAACAAGCCCTTCTCGCTGGTGGAGGAGTACCCAGCACATACACGAGTTGTCCATCACGCGCAAGAGGGCGTCTGCAGCCTCGCCTACGCCGTTAGTCAACGGGGTGCCCAAAAGATGCTCCGTGAGATTGCGCTCAAGCCGGCGACGGATGCGTTCGACATTCTGCTGCGGTTCTACTGCGAGGGCACCCACGATCGCACCAAACAAGAGTGTCTGAGCGTCAACCCAAGTCTCTTCTCCCACCATCGGCCGGTTGGGCCCATCGGTGCGTCTAGCGATATTGGCGACCACGGCGAGGGATACAGACACGAGGCATCGACAGACATGGTTCGGTTCAGCGTACGGCTGAATGCCGAAGTCATTCTGAACGGAAGTACCAATTACATTGATCAGTTCCCCGACTCTGCGGAATGAGGTGTCATCTTTTCTTGTCTTTCTTTCCTTCTTGTTTATTTATTTTGATACCACCCGTCTTTGATTAGGTTTGACTGTTGTTGGTTTGATAACCATGTATACTATTCACGACAGTCTTGTCATGATTAAGCATCTGGGTACTGGAGTACAGGGTCGAATTTGCTGTAGGAGTTTGCATCACGACGAGTGTATGATGCCATGAGCGGCATGGTCAAAGCCACCCATCATTTATATAGCATATATTCATTTTTTTTGGCATTTTGTTATGTTCGACCTATTCAAATACTCGTGCGGGCACTGCATCAGACAGGGGCCAGTGAATAAACACCACGTGTCTGGCCGTACCCAAACCAGAGAACACAAGACCTATACCGTGTCATACACCACGAGTACAGACACAAATATATCAATAAAGATAGGAGCCTCGACCGGCTTTCCGGAGTTGGAACGGGCGAACCGAGGCTGCATCAGATCGGAGCCATGCCCAACTAGGATAGCGTGTATAGCGTGCGCTAACAGGTCAACTATGAGTCAAACGTGCGTGGGGGAAGGTGCGGTTGAGGCTCAGACGCCAGGACACTGTGCGAGCAGCCGGCTCCACAGTCTCACAAGTTGACGTTGCAGTCTCACCATCTCACCCACCCACTCGCCACTTGGATCGCCATCAATTGCGCGCATCAAGCCCTTTCCGCGCCCAGCCTCGCGGGAACCCCGTCCTCTATCGATGTGGATCCGGCCATATCGACCGTCGAGCTTAAAAGGACTCCCTTGCTCTCCTCCGACATGTCGACGTCTTCTTTCCCACACTCCTTCACACTCGAGTGCCGAGCGCCTCGTCCCATCTCCTGCCAGATCTTGCTCTGAGCCATTGACCTTTTCTGCTCTGCACGTCGCTCTTCTCAGCGTGCCCAGCGTCTGTCCCGGAAAACACCAACTAGAACAATCACACCGTCCCCTGCCTCTCCGGGGTTTCTAGGAGAGGTCTCCTAGCGTGAGCTCATGGACACCGCCATTACCGCCGTCACCGCAGCTTCCCGACAGATCGTGGCTTTCTTCAGGCCGCAGCAACGAAAGGAGCCCGACCCTCCTTGGTAGTCATCAAGGGCCGTGGTGGTCCCCGACTGAGCTCGATCATCACACCACCTCTGGTGATCACAATATATCTGCTGCTGCTTCGACGTCCTGCATCGACAACTCCCCGCCCTGGCCGTTGCCTCTTGACGACTTTTTGGTGCTCAATCAACTTCAGAACCAGATTCCTCTTTCGGCTTCGGCCTCTCCAGAAGAACTGGCTCTTGGTCTGTGGCCACTACTCCTTGAACAGACTCACCACTTGGATCCTTCCTCGTCGTCGTCCGTCACTCCGGCCCTCTCTTCTCTCGACGACCCGGACATGACCTACCTGAGTTTGTTTGGGAGTGTCGGCACTGAACATGGCTTGGATCAGAATGGTAAGGCTCTCCCGATAGTGGAACGTCTTATAATAAAGAATGGACTAGCGAGTATGCTAACAGTACTCGGATAGATGCTCCACACCACCGACATCATCCACACAACGCCAGCCATGACCTTTTTGTCCAAGACAGCAATAGCTTCTTGAGCCATGTACTCCCTCACCCGCACCAACCCTTGCAGGACCCCCCAACATCAGCAGTTTCTCACGAGCGGACCACCGCAAACCATTTCAATCATACCTTTTTGAATACTTCATCATCAGCACCAACGACAGCGAAACACACTTCAGGTTTGCATATCCCAACAAATACTAAACGCCACGGCTCTCCCGCTAGCAGCAGCAGCGGCACTGGTAGCTCAAAACGCAAGTATTCTGCTTCTCCTCCCGAGGATCTGGATCCAGATAGCGAAGAGGCCCAGGTGGCTATCAAGCGTCAGCGCAATACCATGGCTGCGCGGAAATACCGCCAGAAAAGGCTCGATCGAATCTCGGACCTGGAAACCGAATTAGGACAAGTTACCAATGAGCGAGACGAGCTCAAGTTGCAGCTCGCCCGGCGAGAAGCCGAGGTTGAGGCTCTTCGGGAAATGCTGTCTAAGAAGTGAGGTTGCGCCTGACGCGGTGTAGATGTGATGATTTGGTGAAGGGCGAAGAAAGTGAAAGGATGCAAAGGTATCATGGAGGAACGCTCCCTTGGCCACCACGACAACAAGAGTTTTTCCAATTATGAAATATCTGTCTGTGATTAGCAAGAAACCCTAGCAAGATGAATTTCATTCTTTTTTCTCTGCCAAGTCTTTGTGCTATGAAGAACGCGGGCGTGCTGCTCAGACGATGTCGTTCTCTTCCTTTGATGGTAAATAATATTCATTGATGAATCATCAATTTCCGTTTCTGTCATCACTGCAGCCATTGTGTTTTTGTACAAGTGCAGAGGGCATGTTGTAGGATGTCACTTACACAGGCACCCGACGCTGTGGTTCCGAAGCACATGATTAGGAACCATGGGAGGTTGTAGCCTTGATTCACAATCATACTGGTTGTATTGTGGCTTAATTTATCATCTTGGGTATGTGTTCTATATATTATATTCAAATACGCAGCTGACCCGTCTTGTCCGAGCTCAGACAGCGTGTATGGCTAATACTTGCAACTGCTGCAGTAATTACAACCACTCTGTATGCACCCCGGCCTAGTTCTTGGCTGGATACAGCGTTTCCTGATGTCTCGTCCTGATCCAGTATGAATCATTCTGATTGTACCGGCAGTCGCGGAACGATGGATCATATCTGCCCCCCCAAGTGTGGAATGTATATTCCAATGCCAAGAGGGAGATTATCAACACGATATCGACTGCTTCTGAGAGAAATGTAGAAATATAGGCAAGCATCTCGGATAATCTCATGTCGGATGTGTGCATCTCGTTGCGTTGATATGTTTTCCGACGCAAGATGCACTACATGCAAGCCTCGTTTGGAGGATTCGCGGCATCGTCATGTCACAAAGCACACTGACACAAGGCAAAGTATTGAGCATGGTCCAGTCCCTCTTTGGTCTGATACATGGCACGCTCAAATCCCATGCCCGACGTGGGCACGCACGCAACTACCGGAGAAAGGACGTATCGTGCGCCGCACTGTATACCCCACCATTCTGGCGATGTTCATTGCCAAATCGGGCCAAGAGTCAGAATGACTCATTTTTGCTCATTTTTCGTCAAGCGGCAAAATGCGGGGACTCGTCATGGAGCTATCATGGGTCGAAATGCTGTGCCACTATTGGCCAATCATTTGGCCGCGCTGGATATTACTTGATTTGGCCGAGCCGGGTTTACCGTCTGCGGCTTGTGGCAGGATATATTTGCCCGTCACTGATTTCCCGTAGTGTCAAATGTTATGACTAGAATAGATTATAGTATAGAGCGCTGCAGCCACTGTAGCATAGTGATAGGTGGTTGCACCAAAAAATGACATGCTTTGGTGTGTTAGTACGCTCTATATATTGCGACATAGGTGCGTATTGCCGACCAGACGTGATTTGTCTTGATTTTACGACTGTTATGTTTTTCCAGTGATATACGTCTTTTGGTTCAGCTTGTGGATCGTGCTTATTCCATGGTAGAAGAAATAATCAAGGCGTAGCGGCGCAGGTAAAGGGGAACTGTCACATGGTTACACAAAGGCTATGGTCACGAGGCCTAGGGTAAGGTCCCTCGCTGACTTCTTGTATTTAAAGACCCCTATGGTTAACAAGACCTCGAGGAAAACCAAGAACCTTTGATACCAAAGACTGTTGTTAGATGAATTGAGTTATTGCTCCAAGCCTAAGCTCTTGTCACAGGAACTGGTGGTAGGATCATCTATATAATACCCCCTTGCGACCAAAGCGTCGGATGGGATAAAAGGTTGCTGCCACACAAGTAGGACTAGTTGTATATGCTGTGTCCTAGAAATTTGTTCGTGGGGTCATGTACGTGATTGGCAGTCCAGACCTGGCCCCTTTTTATAACGCTTCTCAACAATAGTTATTCAGGCATCCGCTCCTCAATTTTGCTCGTAACAATTGGTAAGTATTGTTTGTTACTTTCCCTCTCGGTATTTTACCTCCAACAGTTTCGATATCCATCAAAGCCGTCGAGGTAACACATATATGTATTACTTTAACCTCATAGCCATATGTCTCAGTTCAACAAGGAACAAAGTCTGGCTTTTGTCTTCAGATGATACAATAGGCAAGCTCTGCAAAACTGTTAGTGCGAGAGTTTAAAACTAGTTTTAGGAAAACAGCCTTTCGCTGTCCATTTAGTGACCGCTATGGACATTGCAGATTCAGCAATCTTGTCAAAGCGTTGGTCAAGCGGGAAATACTGGATTTCCAGGCGCCGACAGCAACAGAATGTCCAATCCCCAGTAATTAGGACATTTTCCTTCCTTTCCGCGGTTTTGCTTTGACATGTTGCGGTAGGTTGAATATGTTGGGTGCAGGAGTTACAGTCTGTCATCGAAGGCTTTTGCAACAATGAACAAGTTGGCCGCACCAGTTGTTACACGGATGTCACGTTGCCATAAAGGCACGGGCCGTACCTTGAACATGACGATAGTTACACAAGGGCTTGAGACCTAACGGAGGCCTCAGGCACCTAGGACAGCCCTTTGACCGCCTCTTGATATAAATAAGGGTCATCTGCCCCTCAAGGCCTTGAGAAAACCCAAGGACCTTTGATATCAAAGCGAATTATTAGCTGAATATCGAACATTGTTCCAAGCCCAATATCACTTGCCCTTGTCACACCAGTCGACTGTCCATCATTTGATGTACGTGTGTATTTCCCATGATCTCGACTACATGAAGGAACCTCCTGCAGTGATTAGTGTTGTCTTTCTTTATCCTTCACGTCAACAAAGACAGTGTCGCACCCATGGCACAAGGTCATGACAAAGTGTAAATTGATCTCGGATCTCCGCACGCAAGCAGTCTCCTCCAACCATGGTCACTCCTCTGCCAGCTCCTGTCCGCGTCCCACTTCCAGCGAGTCTGTTTAGTTATTGTTGCGATGGACCAAGCTCAGATACAGTCCAAGACTGGGAATGTCCTCATGTACAAGAAGCTTCCTGAGCTACTCGACGACCACAAACTGGCCAGAAAATCGAAGATTTTGGCAACAGCACGTACTTCTTTTGGGGCGGGGTTTTCCGAGTCTCTGCGTATAGCCCTCACTAGCGAAGAAATTTCATCAGCTGCTGGAGTGTACGAGCTCTTGCTGAGAAATCTTCAGAAATTTGCTACCGCTAACACTATCTGAGTTGTCAGCGGCGATGGCACTGTCTCGTGTCTAAAAGGAGAGTCTGGTGGGACAGGCGGACCTGATTCACAGACGGACAATGACATGATGCAATTGCTTGAAAATTCCACATCTGTTCATCTTCTAAAGGACCTGCAATGCATCATTGGCAATGCCATAAAAGTGGCCGGCTCCTATTGTAGGAAAGGAATAAGGGCCTCTTGAAGAAGGTGAATGGGAACAGTCGTACCGCAATTGATGTCGGATGGAATAAGAACCACCAAGATGTTATCGATATCCTCAGAAATATAGCTATTCAATTCCTGATGTCGGCAAACATCCAGAATGCCGAGGCTGTTCTTGACGAGACTGTCGAGGAGACAGCCATCAACCTCAGTAATCAGGATCGCAATGAATAGACAACCCTAGAGACCAGAAGCTCATTCCCGTTGCCGTCGGTCTTTTTGGACGCGCTAGATTGGACCATGTGTCATATGGTACGGATTGGGACATGAAAAGGATGAGTAAGGACAAGATTGCGGAGATGTCGTGTTGGTGTGCGGCATTCTTTGCCAGGGATGGAAAAATTAAAGTACAAGGGTATTGTAAGCGGGTAAACTTTAGGAAAGATCAGTTTCGGTATGCTACATGAGGAAGAACGATCCCTGTCAGCGGCCAGTTGGTACGTTTGTTACAGGTTCGCAAAATAGTTTGCTTTCCATGTTTCAATTCCAGTACCACTAGCTAGCGACAGATGGACAAATGAACGCCACGCGCTTCCCAAATCCAACGAAGTCAAGCGTAGAAATAGCTGTTCTTGACTTTTGTTGGATGCTTGGAAATGCCCAATACTCTGGAACCAATATTGCGGTCACAAGACTCACTGTTCAATCACATCTCAAAAGAGGAGAGGAGGTTTAGAGTGTGGCGGCACAGCATATAATCATACGGAACACGGTTCCGGCACGACGTTGCCCAGCTGTGCTGGAGCTGAGGACGTGGCAATGCATGAAGTTTGCATCGTCTCAGTACCATGACCGCTTTTGTCGATTTAAAACGAAAACGGCACCGTGTGCGAGCGAAACGTACGGATAGGTGTCAGCAATGGAGCGGAAAGAGATGTTGGCATCTATTCTAGACATGTCTTTCTCATTGCAAGTCAACATCTACGGGCAAAGTTGTTTATCAGCTACAGGCACGGCGAGACCAAAGTCGGGTTCATACTGGCGGACTACCTGGGTCTCCTTTGTGGATGATGTAGCCTCCGTATGTTTTCACTCGGCATGTCCTGCCCGATGGGAAATCGAGTCTCCCAAAAGGCATACAAACTTTACTCCTTTAATTGAATACGTCAATGTGACATATTACTCTGAGTTTCCTGAGTTGTCATTTGTCTTAGAAAACCGAGGTGGTATTGGACCATCTTTTGAAACTTTCACCTGTAAGACGCCCGAGGACGGACCTTCAACCTAGGGATGGGTTTCTCCCACAGCGTTTTGAGTGGTCGCGTGCTACCTCATCGTATAGGTAGTCACATACGATATGAAAACGCGGCTTCGTATTCCTGGTGAGAATACGCGTTTGAGAAGCAGTATCCGGCCAGCAAAAAACTATAAAAGACCCCGATCTCTCTTACGTTCTGGATTGAACAGAAGCTACCAAGCCCTTCCAACCATACTAGTATTTACCTCTACACACAAACCCTACCATGATGAAGCCCTCTACATTGACTCTTCTTGGTCTTGTCGCCGCGGCATCGGCGGAGAACTTTCAGTACTGGTCGGGTGACCGCTGTACTGGAAACGTCGTCGGGCGTGGTACTCTGGCTTGCGGAGCCAATCGACTTCCTCCGGTTTTCCCTGGTATCCACAGCATCGATCTTATAGATGCGAATGGATTCCACACGCGTTTCTATGATAGTAGAGACTGCACTGGCACCCCTTGGTTCACGGATGACGGGAAGGGCGGCTGTGTGACGGATGCCAGCGCCAGAACCAATTGCATCTACGTTTCTTGCTATGATCATCTACAAAAGGTACGTAATTCATTCTCCCAACTCAAAACACCAATCAGCTTTTCTCACCATCAGATAGACTGCTCAATAATGTAATATCTGGGACCGTGAAAGAAAATACAGGGGACTCGGCAAGATTCCAATAGCCGAGTTCAAGACCCAAATAGGGATCGTCTAGATATTACATACTCTGTAGAGCTAGTGAGATTGTCTTCCAAACGTCGAACCTATTTCATCAATACTTGTTGTCGAGTCATTGACTCTCGGAAGATGTCTCATTCTTTTTGGCAATATCATTTGCCCAGTCCTGAAAGTGATCATCGCAGCATTCGATCCTCCCATTCGGTATTCTATTCATGACTTGTTCCACGGCTTCTGAGAGATATTGTCTCGGGTTGCAATCTTGATGATTTCGTCGAGGATCCTCTGTCGCTTGGCCAATGTCGTGAATAACGACAGTCTTCAATTTCGTATACAAGTCCAATATACTGTCCTTGACATGAACTGCGTCTGGCAATGGCCATAATCCAGCTCTCCACAGGCAAAAGGTCAGAGATCCTAGTATCATGGACTCGCAACGGTGCGGACCCAGCCAAGCTGCGTGACGGCACCAACGTGGCTGCTCATCCACAACGAGTAGTTTCTGTATCATCTCCCGGAAAACTTGGATAAGCGATTGTATGGTCTGCAATCTCAAGGAAGCAATGTGTTCTATCTATACATGAGCGGGTGAAAGCACAAGGAACCGCAACGCCCCAACTCTTGATACTCACCTGCGATGCCTGGCGGTGTCCGTAGCCCATCAGGACATGAATTTACTGGTGCTCTAGATTCCACCGTCAACCGACGAGCTGTCAGGTAGAATGCATCTCTCTGGCCTAGCTCCCAGTAAATCCACAATGCCTTTGTGATTTCCTCTTGGGTGGATTGCGTGTTGGTGCCCAAAATCTTGGTCCATTTGGCGGTCCAAGGCCTCAGAGCAGTCATCATGTCGTATTTACGTGCAACGACGACCAGATCATATAATTCATCAACAGACAGTGCTGGTGGTACCTGGTCGAATTTAGAGTGAATAATGCACAGCAGAGTGGTCATAGGGACAAGCGTATCATGGTGCACGTCAATGATTTGGTTTTCTCGTCTTGAAATAATTCCTGGTTCGTTTCCGACCGTCTCACCGTACAACATGCTGCGAAAGATGGACGAGGAGCGAGACAAGGCCCGCGAGCAGGCAGTGAAGACGACTGGTTCCTCTGAGTGGTCAAAACCAATGCGAAGTTGGGTGTCGCCATATCGATCCAATGAAACAGCCTTGTGGGACATATTAAGGAATGCAAAAGATCAAGGCGATATTTCGCGTTCCTATTACCAAAGAAACCTTGTGTTCAGCGTCAGTACGACGCAAGTCTTTGTGCGGCAATGGAAAAGCAGAGAAATCTTGGTCGCCTGAACACTGCCTGTGTTCCGAATCCATGGAGACCTTGCTCCGCCACCTCTAGGCTGTATAATTATTCAGCAAGCATATAACTATATCGAGCTCATAAACCTAAATCGAATCGTTCGTGTGGCGCATGCCTGGATACGAGCTCCAACGCTCCACATGTACGAAGCACTTGCTGGCTGCAACACGGCTTAGCAGAATACATGCCTGCTCACAGCCTCTTATCAGCTTATTAATGTGACCAAGGAAACTGGTTTCATCTCTAGTTTGGATCCCACTGTGGCATGGATCGCCAGCACACTTGGGAAAAGTCATGTCAATATATTTTACCCAGCGTGCGTATCGTCTTTAAACCAGCTAGTAGCACAAGGGAAATAAGTCATCTGATATCAAACAGGCAGACAAACAGCAACGCGCTGCTTTAAGGGCAATCGACATCTTTGGAATGTGCGAACCAGACATCGTATTTGATGGCCTCGGAGACACCAAAATACAAGTCAAAAGACGTTGCGGCCTCGAGGCCAAGTCGCGCCTCGTCTGTTCTCGGGCTCTAGCTCGAGCCTCACCAGTTTTACACGTCAAGCTTCAGGAATGGTTGTCATCCGAAAAGGCTACGTCTTCTCGGTTGCATCGCTTGGCGATTGACCTTCCCGCTGGCGACGACGACTCCCTGACGCTATTTCTCAACATCGCGCATGGGCGCTTTCTCGAAATACCCCGAAAGCTCAGCATCAGTCAGCTGTACAACCTAACCGCACTGACGCACTGCTATCAAAGTACCGGTCTTTTAGACCCTTGGGCTGACTCGTGGATATCCCTCATCGAAAGTCCTGCTCGTGGATTGAACTTGGCAAAATTGCTCTGGATATTTTGGGAGCTTGGAAAAGAGACTGCTTTTACCGACATGGCTCACAGAATGGCAATGGAATTAGATGCCACTGAGCTTCAGAGTGTTCGCCAACTTTGGGTGTCCTCAAAAACAACAGGTGTTCTTGGTACGCAAGTTGCACCACTGCTAAAACTTTGCCTGCCAGTCTTGTCAAGCTAATTACCTTGCAGACGCTGTAGCCGGTATTCGAACAGAATTCCTTTCTTTTGTAACGGGCATTCTTCGTGATATGATGGAAAAGCTATTTGTCATGGATCAAAGCCCAAGGTGGTCTCGCTATACGGCACAGCCGAGTCTGCCTAGATGCCGACATGTAACGTACGAGTCCATCCAGTCTTCCCTCAAAGCGGTCAATATGTGGCCGTTGTCAGAGGCTACCGCTGTGAGAGAGAGCGCGGTAGAATTTTACTCCAAGTTGGCTGTTGTGGTTCATCATGGCCACCGAGACTGCGAATTTGCCAACTTCTGGGCTGGCAAAGTTCAACAGGTGTTGAAGTCCAGACCTGTTGTTTTGACAAGGCTATACAGACAATTTAGATGTAATTAAAACCAGATAGACCGGCATTTTCCATGTCTAGGTGTGACAGAGGCATGATTTTGTATTAGCCAACACGAATTACGGATTATAGCATGAGCCGTGCGGACAGATAGGGCAGCGCTTCACGAAGCAACCACAAGGCTCTATGCGTATCAATTGCATAACTTCACACACAGTGCGTACAGTAAAAAACTATATTGCTTCTAGTATGCTCTGATTAATCCAGAGAAAAAATACCAATCTTAAGCTTATACGGTTATACCTCTCGGATGACTCGTACCATGTCTGGTGCTGCTTGGACATTTCAGTCGGTAACAAGGAATTCCGCAAATATAAGAAATAGCAGTCACGGATTTGATTCCACTAATATTTTCTACCAAGACCTCGATTAAGATGATAATTATGTTAATACAGCACTCTAAAATACAACTTTCGTTTCAGATACAGCAATCTTGTTCAGCTTGACATCATCGATACCCTGATACACCATCTTTTCTGGAGCACTCCCACCAGAATCCGACACGTAAAATTTTATGGGCGATTCCCACAGATCAAATACATTGCTATCCCATCCAATACCAAATTCGTAGCTTGTAGCTAGTCCTGCCGGTCGAATGAACGGCAGCCCCCGCACCGGAAGCAGACCCTTGATTCGCAAACTATTTCGATGTTTTGGCCTCCGATTCGGATAGCTTGCCCTTCTCCGTGGCTTTGTTGGGGCTGGGGGAGGAGAAATACGCGTAGGCAACCCCTAAGAAGAGTATGGTGCCGCCGATCGGGACCCTAGAATACCATGTAAGCGCTTCGTCTCTACGATTTCCCCAAGCGATAAGCAAGAAACGAACCAATTCCGACGAAGGGTTTCTGAGAGATTGGATTTAGAAGGCGGAAGCTCTTGACCACTGGCGTCGTCTTCGTACGTCTGCCGGCGAGCTGTTCCGGAGAAGCCGCGTGGCGCCGCAATAGCCGCCGGGCGGATGTGGTTCCGTACAAGACGGACGGAGGCTCTGGGAATGATAATCATGGTGATGTTGATGGAGACCGTGACTATTTGATGGAAAAGTACAGGCGGAGTTGTGTTTGTGGGAGAGGTATGTTCGCCGGTTGTACATGAGCCAGGACGACACCTTGGGAGACTGGCGGTGGCCAAAAACATGTGACAACTATATACTTGAGTGTCAGAGGTGTCACACCACGTAGTGTCGGTATACAAGCTGGGGCGCCACTGCTCCCTTTGTGGCCTCTGGCATTCCGGTGCAGATGCTGCTTCAATATTGGGTGGCGAATTTTGTGGCTCTCGAGAGTGTCGTCATGGGCTTGGGTTCTGGATGCGGGGACGAGGACGACACACCTGTTGCATGTCTGCTGTGTAACCGGTGTGTCGACAAATTCCTTTGCCTGCTAAGTCTGCTTGACTGGTTACGCCGGTAAACGTCTATTGGAAGTCGAGGGCCTCTGATGTAGTCAGTCGGCTAAATGCACCTCCAGAAGACTTCATACCAAGCTACAGTCCAAGATTTATCTATGCTGAAGCCAAATATACTTGAAGATTTCTGACATCTCATCTCTTCACCAGAGCTATAGTCATATTAGCTGGGAGGTGTCTCTTATGATCAGTCGGTTTTCCCCGACATCACTCGGCTCGATATAACATCTCAGTCTATCCCATGAGACATTTGTGGCCAAACAACGAATCTATCCATTGAGTAAAGCGTTTGCGGCAGAAAAATAAACCAAAACTTCAAATATTCCAGGCTTTTTTCTATAAACCCATTTTTGGCTCCAAAGAGATGTACAACGCGATGTGGTGGTCTATACCATCATCCAATGAAGCGCTTCACAAACGCCAGGCAAACACTACACTCTAGCAAATATCTTCCTGTTCATCATCAAGCGGACTGCCAAAATTAAACCTGCGCTTGCAAGTGTCAAGGACCCAGCGTAAAAGAACGTGGGCCGAAACGCGGCAAGCCCAGCCTCCGCACCACCATACGCATCCAACAAGTACCCAGCGATAGGCGATCCCTAAGCACCTATTATCAGCTCACGCCTTATAGAAAGTAAACACTGGGCGTTCGTTTTTGCTCTTACCATAAAGTACCCAAAAGTCCATGAAGTTGTCAGCATAGACATGACATTGGCAAGTTGGCCGTCCCCGAAAACCGCTCCGACCACCACAGGCATCAGACTGAAGAAGCCACCAGAACCGATCCCGTTCAAGACGGCGAAAAAGACCAGAAGCCCCAGTGAAGACGCAAATGGCCAGAGTGCCATTGCACTGACACCAATGACAGTGAGCGAGATGAGCAAGCTGTTTACAGGGCCGAGATAAGCGTCTGCCCCAAAGCCCATGCCAATACGGCCCAGAGCAGAGGCAATGTTCCAGCATGCGAGAATGGCAGCGGCGGCCTGGCCAGAGAATCCCATATTCGCGACATAAAGTGGGAGAAGGAAGGGGGGCACGAATAGAGGAAACGTGGCAATTGCTCCCATGACGAGCATCATGTTAAACTTGACGCTGCGGAAAAGACGCCTGTGTCCCGCGTCAGTACCATACACCCCAAACCATATATACGCCTTCTCCGGCCCGGTGAACCTACCATTGGACGCTTGAAACGGCGCGTCCACGTCCAGCAGGGGCTCTCAGGAAGTACGACGCCGTGATGCAAATTGCCCACGCAAGAGCTCCGAGAATCTTCAAAGCCGACTCGAGCCCCACGACCCCAATCAGCTTTTCCATGGAGACGGAGATGACGGCAGATCCGATGCCAGCGCCGCCAAAGACAACACCGGTCGCCAAACCTCGCTTCCTCTTGAACCACAGCGATGGCACCGTGGCCGCAGGCTGCGAGCAGAATCAGCCCATCAGAGTCACATGGCATCAGGAGGCGAGACTGGAAAAGACGCCTTACCAGATATAACATGGCGGACCCTATGCCAAACAAGAAGCCTTGGGTGACAAACATGGCGGGCACCGACTTGGTGGACCAGCCTGCGGTGAACTCGCCAAGGCCTAGGAATAGGCTTCCGATGAGGGCAGTGACCCTGTAACCCGCAAGCTTGATGATTCTGGCTACAATCATGCCGGTAAGCGGTGACATGGCTGCCCCGACTGAGCCGATGAAGGACAGTGTCGAGATGCTGGCGAGGCGTGACTCGGTGAGGTGAAGCTGCACGATGCCATAGGAATAAATCAAGCCCAGGAAGACGAAGAAGATGGCTGATCCGGCAGCCACCACCACCCAGCCTTCTTTGGTATCCCAGTTGGTGTCGTTGTCGCTCAACCGCATGGGGGTTGTGTCGTGTTCGTCGTGATCCTCCAGCCTTGCAAGTCGAATCTCGTCATGGCTCGTTGGCTCAGACACCGCAATCGGCTGCACGGTTGTGATTGTACTTGACATTTCTTTTTATTTTTGTTCCTTTCCATGAGGCATTGGTGGTACTGAAGTTGGTTGCTATTTCGGAATAAAACAGTAAATAGCTTGACGTTTCTCGGTGGCTGGATCCTGACATCTTCCCCATGACTCATGATGGACTCGCGCCCTACGGTGGACACTAGTGTTACAAGAGGGCGTATTCACTCGACCTAAACCACTTACCCTGGGGGAGGAAGGAAAGATCTAGGCATCTTTATTTTGCGCTTGCATAGTCGTTTTCTGCATGTCCACAGGTCATATCTTCGGTCGGCATGAATAAAGATGCCACTGCCAGCCACCAGGGCAATATACCCGACCGATCCAGGAGACGGTCCGCGACGACGCAACTTACACAGCCGTATGTTGTCTTGGAATCCACTGTTACACTTGTCAGCGAGGCTGCCAATTACTCCCGCTGCTTATCCCGAAAAAAACCTCCCAAACTCCCCATCAAGCCCCCCAGCATATTCATCGAAGCCTTCCCATCACCGCCACTACCACGCGCATCCATCCCACTTCGAATCCATCCCGGCAGTTTGCCCTGGATTCGTTCGGTGGCATACCTCCTATCGGCCAGTACAATCGCCGCATAGTCGCCTTTGTGACGAATCGCGCGCCCAATACTCTGGTTGACGGCCCGCATACACGCGTTTTCGTAGAAGTCTCTCGCGGCCTGCTTAGCTCGTGCCGCAGCTTCATCCTTGGTTAGCTTGGGGCCAGCGTCACGCCTACTGTCTTGTAGATTTGCCAACGTAGTCGATTCAATATAGTCCATCTTGGCTTTCCACTCCGGCGATGCAATATTCGGGTATGGCAGACCGACGACCATGACGCATCGGCCCAAGCGATCCGAGAAGTTGATGCCTTCGGACATTTTCCCTCCCACAACACTGAGGAGGAGTGCGCCGCCTTTGCCTTTCACCAGACCCGTGGTGCTTCCCCCATTTCCGAGGATCGCTTGCGAATACTCTTGGAGGACCTCGTCGCTGGAGCAGCCTTTTGTTTCGCGAAAAACCATTTTTCGAGTTTGCAAACGGTCCCAAATGGTTGTTTGGGGGTTCTTGTCTCCCGGGGCTCGTCGACTCCACGCTGCGACGACTTCTTCAAGATATCCGTAGCTTGGGAAGAAGACCACGACGCCGTCGGGGACGACTGAGCAGATATTCAGTATTGCCAGGCCCAGCTCCTTGACCATTTCCGAGTCCCCTCGACGCTGGTAGCTGAATTCAAAGCTTGAGCCACCTGGACGAGTCCCCGTTAACGTCCAGACACACAGGTTTTCGCGTGGTATTACATGTCCGCAGCTCAAGGTAGTTACTTTGGGGTCAGCGAGCGCTGGGAAAAGATGGTTCTTGTAGTCGTCGAAAGGCGACATGGTGCCTCCTGCCAGTATGACCGCGCGCGCGCTGGACACAATAGATGAGAATGCATGCGTTGGAGAGAGCAGCAGGTACGAAAGCTGAACGTCTTGGGCCGGTCCACTGGTCTTCTGGTAGAATATTCGGCCCTCGGAGCTCGGGTTTGTAAGGGCTACAAGGAACGAGACCAGAGTATGCAGGACTGGTGTGCTCGACTTCGTCCCCGGCTTGCCGGAGTCGTTTTCGTTCTCGACATGTGCTGCGTAGCTCTCAATCTTGTATGCCAGTTTGGACTCTTGGATGTACTGAATAAGCTCAAACATGTTGATCTGGTCGATGCCCTTCGGTCGAGTCAAGTCGTTTGCGTCCACGATTCCGTGCTGCTGCTGTCTTGGAATTAGCTGCCACGTCTGACATAGTACGCGAGAGAGAACGTACCTTGAAGCCTTTTGCCCCATTCATCCACTCGGTCAAGCCATCAATCACTCGCCCGACTCTTCCCACATTAACACGGTTGACACCTTTGAGCTTCTTACCAAACCGCTTCACATAAATTCCTAGCATCCCTCGCCCTTTGTGAAGGTCACTGAGTTTGATCTCTGCAGCATGTACATTAGCAACGGCATCCATCACGTTGTGTGCCTCATCAATGATGACAACATTGCCCTCCAACTTGATCCCCAGCGCCTCCCGGGCACTTCTTTGAAGCAGGAGGGGATATGGCAGAGTGATGATTTCCGCACCAGGTAGTGCCGACCGAGATGCATAGTATGGACACACGGCCAAAGACTTGCCAAGCTGATGCAAATCTTCAATGTCCGGGACAGTGGCTAAAGCCGAATCGCGAAATTGATGTGTTTGGCTCAGGAGCTCCTCTTTTGGAACATACGGGCATTTCTTGGTAGACTTCGACTGCTGGAGCTCAGCACAGCGATCATTGATGGCCTGCACTGATCCGAGTCGCGCGACGGACGGGTTGATACACAACCTTTGTCGAGAAGACAGCGGAAGTAGTTTGACCGTCTCTTCGACAGACGACTTTTTCTCTGCGAGAGAAGTCGGCAGCGAAGAAGGAAACTTTGGGCGGCGCAGTTCCGTAATGAATTGCGACAGTTGCGAGTGTGTTCTAGATGTATAATAGATCTACAGACGGTCACTAAGGGCATCTTCAAAGTGGCTGTGTGGAAAAGCACTCCTCGCACCTTGACCTCTTCTTCTAGAATATCATTGTCCTCTTCTTTCTTTCGAGGACCACCAAGGCCGATGCGCTCTAACACCTCACGCGACTCTTTACTTAACCCGGACAGGGCAGTTTGGACACCTGTGTCGCGGTCCCCCCATTCATTTAGTAGCCATTCGGCCTCATCAGCATCCATGTCATTGCCATCACCAGGTGTGATTGCTTCCTCGAGGCGGCGGCGCTTACGGCCCCGGTCTTCAAGTGCTTTTTCCTTTAACCGGATGGCTTCGAGACGCTTCTCACGATCTTCCCACCTTTGAACCAGCTCCTCGCGTTTTCGCCGTAGTAGTTGGTCGACGAGCCACGCCGGTTCGTCTTTATAAGCATCTCCCGCATTTTGCATCGATACCTCAACTTTGTTGGACTTGAAGTTTCGAAGCCAGGTAAGTGAGGCGCAGATCAATGAAAGGGATTTACCCTGCAAAGTGTGAGTGGCTAGGCGTGTCATGGTCATGAGAGCCCATGTACAAGCAATTCCGACCATCGATGGGAATGTGTCACATACAGTGCCTGTTGGGCTTTCCAAGATACCAACTTGACCTTCACCCTTGTCTAAAATGTCATATACAGTCCTCATAAACTGTTCTTGGACAGCGTACGGAGTGTACGGATGGTGGAAATCCAGCTTCTCCAGATGGCGCGTAGCGTCATCTACACTGGTGGTGGCGGCAGAAGCCATGATGGCTCATCTCTTCATTCTCGGCCGGGGAGAGATTCATAATAGCACTGTCGTCATCTACACCCGATGGCGACGGCCGCAACGCGTCTTTGGATGAAGAGCCCAGTTGTTGGATACGAACCAGTGCCCCTTGTCCCTTTTGTCATTAGTGGGGTCAGCTTCAAAACGTCTCCACGGTGAGGCCACGAAGTCACCTGATACGGAAGGGGCCCACTTCCAGCCACGAAAGCCCACACCGCACCACACAAATGGTGTTAGGGCTAAATTGCCCTCTCGCTAACAATTTTCTGGGTCCCATGCAGCCAGGAACCTGAGTAGGCGCAAAATCATCACCACCCACTCTCAGTCTTCGACGACAAACCATCGGAAAGCGACAACACCACAACCGTCGCCATGCCTACCCGAACTTCGAAGACCCGCAAGCTGTACGTGAATACACTCTTCCTATGAGACATATTTCGATCCGGAGAGAATTGGACGCCTTGACAATCGTCATTGGGTGCCAGTGTCGTTTGTTGACAGAAAATCTCCTTGGCGGAACGTGGATGAAGATGGATCAGGGGCAATCAGGAATACTAACAGCTTTTACTTGACAGTCGCGGCCACGTCTCTCACGGCCACGGTCGTATTGGCAAGCACCGCAAGCATCCCGGTGGTCGTGGTCTGGCTGGTGGTCAGCACCACCACCGTACCAACATGGACAAGGTTCGACAACCTCGAGATGCCCGAGCCGATGAGCGAAAGAAGGCGACGATTGCTAACTCACTCTTGACAGTACCATCCCGGTTACTTCGGTAAGGTTGGTATGCGATACTTCCACAAGCAGCAGAACCACTTCTGGAAGCCCGTGATCAACCTGGACAAGGTACATACAACTCCTCTTGCTTCACGCGATACAATTTGATCTTTGGGCGACGTCGATGCGGGGGATGAGCATCCCAGCTGGCATTGAAGGGAATTGAATGAAACAGCGACCGACAACGCCATGCACCGCAATCGACAGTCTGCACAAAGACGGAATTTTTTCCTCGCGACATGCCCATTTTTTGACCTAGAGAAAATGCTAACAAGTTCGCAGCTGTGGACTCTCGTCCCCATTGAGACCCGCGATGCCTACGTCTCCGGCGCCAAGAAGGACACCGTCCCCGTCCTCGACCTCCTCCCTCTCGGCTACTCCAAGGTCCTCGGCAAGGGCCGTCTCCCCGAGATTCCTCTGGTTGTCCGCGCAAGATGGGTCAGCAAGCTGGCTGAGAAGAAGATCAACGAGGCCGGTGGTGTTGTCGAGCTGGTTGCTTAAATGTCCGCGACGAAACAAATAGAAAAGAAAATACAACCACAATTTCTCTCTTCTATTTTTTTTGTTTCCACGTTTTCTAAAAAGCATTTTTCACGCTCCGTGCTTTTTATGAAAAAATGGTCATGGGAGTCTGGGAACCAACGGGAAACCAGTTTTAGAGCAAGAAACAACATCTTGTTTTTGGCGAGTGGGGTGTCGAACAACGCCAGATATGAAAGCTGTATGCCGAGAGCTGAAGAAAATTTGGGAATCGGGGACCCAGGGTCGGGTCGGTTTCGATCGCATTGCATCAGGGGACTCGTGACATGGAGTTTTGACGAATAAAATTCGATTTTTCGCCCATGCATAATGGAATTTTGGCTTCCCTGTTGTGATGTGATCTCTGAGCAGTCCCACGTGGCAATGAAAGGCCTTGTTTTTGGCGAGGCCAATAGCCCGTCATCTTGTCTGGTTAAAACATCACTCCAGCAACACGTACTATTGACTGAATTAGATGAAGTCTCTGTTGTGCCCATTTTCAGCATGTACATGTATTAATTTCATTTATGCCTCTCAACAGACATAACGCCAAGCACTCGAAACCCCGCCAGCTCATGACGCCAATGATGAATTTCTAAACGCCCCAGAAATGCTCAATATTACATAGATTGGTGCCGTATACCGTTGGTTGATAAAATAAAATACCTGGTATCGCAAACACAAGACCCCAGCGCCACGAAAGCCCAACCTTACGCCGCCAACATGTCAACCTCATCCTCGTCACCGAGTTCCTGACTCTGGGGTTGGTCAATATTCAAAAACTCATGGTGCAAAGCCTGTTCAGCTGTGATTCTTCTTGAGGGATCCAAATCCATGCACCGTTCCAAAAATCGCACGGCCAGCTTTTCATCGGGTGTCAGGGGCTTATCATTCGTACGACATGTGCTCCACAGGATAATCTTCTCCATTGTAAAGCCTTGCTGGCCTATTGTAGGAATGTTGGTTTCAAAAACACATCCATGGAGTAGTCCTGCGGCTTTCATGCGCTTTGAGCCAAAGATGGTTGCTATTTCAATCATGGCTTCTACGTCATCAGCCGAGTTAAAAAAGGGAAATCGTTTCGACAGGATGGTAAGAAGAATGACGCCGGCAGACCAAATGTCGATCGCGGTGGTCTGTTCGGTGCATTTGAATAAAACTTCAGGCGCGCGAAATCCTCGTGTGCCAGCGCGATTGGCACGCTTGGACAATCGAGTGTCTGAATTAGGATAGCCGGGTTGTGAAGTCGTTGCCATCTGAGCCCATGCGGAAGTGGCTTGACGATGCTTGCGCGTTTCGCGATGTTCGTGGCAGAGGCAAGGTTTACAATCAGATCCCTCGCGTTCTGCTAACCCAAAATCGACCAGGACACCATGCTGGGTAGCTGGGTCATACAAGAAGTTGGTCGGTTTAATATCTCTGTGAAGTATCTTGGCCTGGTGGACGCTTTTCAATGCCGTAAATAGGGATCGCAGATAAATGGCAATATCTGGTGTCGTCATATCTCGGAAGTATGCCCTGAAATCACCGTGTCGGAAGTAGGGCAGGATGGCAACCACCTGGTCCGTGTTTCGGAACGCTGTGATGAGAGGGCAGACAGAGGGGCATTGCCGCAGGTCATGGAGGAGTTCGAGCTCGTTCAGAATACGCGCCGGACTTGATGTGACGTAAATCTTTTTAATTGCAACAAATCGTGCACGCCGCCGTTGGGAGCGCTCCGATGATGCTTGGCTGGCGTGTCTTTTGAGAGGTGGAGGCGTCCATTTTGACGAGTCATCATCAAAGTCCCAACTGTTGTCGTATCTATCGTACTGGACATCTTCTGCTTTGTATACGGTAGAGAAGGTTCCTATCGAGTTTCGGGCGGGTTAGACTTTGTTTGACATGTCAATGAAGACAATGTTTCGTGATGGAATTGCAAGACATACCCTCGCCAATCCTCTTGATTAGGCGGTATTTTCCACGAAAGCCAGGAAAGTCATTAGCCAGCTTGTCCATGTCGGCTTGTACACTCCTTTCAACACGCTCGTCGTCCGAGCCTTCTTCCTCTTCCTCCTCTTCTTCTTCCTCCTCTTCGACTTCTTCCTCCATTACCTCGTCTGTTGCAGCAGCTCCGGCAACATCATCTTCAACCATCATTTCGGTCTCTTCGGTACGCGCATCTTCGTGAATGTCAAAAGGATCCTCTGCCCTTGGACGTCCCAGTGCGGCAGCCATGATGCCAGGTTCGCCCATGGATTTGTCGCCGGCCGGTATTCGCGATAGAGACACAGTGTGTTGTTGCCAAAAGAGCCTTGCTTGAGACACCCTTTGTCTATTTCAGGGAAGGGCAAAGTACGACAAGTCTAAAGCGAATCAATTGACAGCACACACGACCGGCGACCAAGGCAATCAAGGGAAAGCAATTGATTCATAGACATGCAAGTCAATCTGCAACAGCCTGGTCCGTCGTTAATAATCCACCGCCCTGCTTCTGGTTGTGGAGGGGCTCGGGGCTGCTGGTCTGGACGAGCGTGTTTCTGAGCAAGCATCAAGTTGATTGGTGAAACGCGCCACTAGCGTGGCCTTGATAGCTACTGGTGTGCATAAAACGGGCACAATCAAGCATAAGTGTACATAAGCGTGCGCATGTGGGGTTCCGTTGTGGGCTGAACGTGGAGCTGCGCGTCTTGGTCATTAAACAAAACAAAAACATTCAGCCGTTGCTGAGGGACGCAAGCTGGAATCGCAACCAGACAATCATCAGCCTTGATGACCAACAGTTTGCAACGCTTTTGAGCGACGAGCATTAAGAGCTGATTGCTCGCCTGTTGAGATTGTAATACTAACACTTTAGCTCTTTACCCATTCCAGCTCCCTTGATCCGTTTCCGTTCTGCGCGTGCGCCCTTTCCCCCGCCTCGAAGGCGACACAGGTGCCCATCATGGCAACAATCAGCTTTGATATCAACGATGCGCTCAAGCATTACATGTCCGACCCTACCACAATACCCACGCCAGAGGCCGACAGCGCCTTATTTGACTGCGAAAATGACCCCGAGTCGCTCACAAACCCTGTCATCAACCCGGTGCTAAATCCGATCGTCGATGCCGTTGCTCATGATCCGGAGGCCATCCTGCGGGCATCAAATATGGACTCACTGCAGTTCCTCCTCAAGTGAGCAAGTGTGCTCCTTGCAGCCTGGATTCCATGCTGATATGAACTCTGACACAGATACACTTCATTTCTGCCGACACATGCCTTGAGTAAAATATTCGACCTAGTTATGAGTGGACTGAGTGCCGAATGCGACTATATGTACAACGACATGGACACACCGGACGAGCAGGATTCCGTGCCTCATCACAAGCAACTTCTTGAGATTTACGGCTTTTTATTACAATGGACCATTGCTGCTGTCGAGACAAAGGCCGCTGAGAAATCATCAACGGCTCCGGCCGCGCGCGGTCGCGGCAAGCCCAAGAAAGGAGCATCCAAGGAGGATACGTGGGACTCGGCGACACAGCTACAGGCATCATTGGAGATCATGTGCAAGGTCCTGAAGCAGAAATTGTCAAAGATCTTCTTAACAACCAGCGAGAGAGACACATTTATTGGGCTCCTTACTAGACCTGTTTACATGATTCTAGAGAGCGAGCAGCGCGCCAAGACTACTTCCATTCGAATGCACTGCTTCAAGGTATTGTGCATGGCTGTCAAGCATCATGGCCATGGATATGGTTAGTTCGAGACCGAAACGTTACTTTTACACAAGTATTCCTAACACACAAGCAGCCGCTCAAATCAACGTTATCCAGAATTTGACATACTTCGAGCACTTGTCAGAACCCATGGCTGAGTTTCTGCACATTCTGGCTGAGACATACGACTACCCTCAACTGGCGGATGAGGTTCTACGCGAGATTTCCAACAAAGAATTCAACTCGAATGATACTCGGGGTCCCAAGTCAGTTTCTGCCTTCATTGCTAAGCTGTCCGAGTTGGCCCCTAGGCTCGTGATTAAGCAAATGACCATGTTGGCCAAACAGCTAGACAGCGAGTCTTACACGTTGCGATGCGCACTGATCGAGGTGTGCGGGAACATGATTGGCTATCTTAGTAGACAAGACGAACGCAGCGAGAACTACAAGTCGCAGCTCAATGCCTTTTTCGACGTCTTGGAAGAGCGATTCTTGGATATCAACCCATATTGTCGCTGCAGAGCTCTCCAAGTCTACATCAAGGTTTGTGAACTGGATCAGAAGTTCCCCAAGAGGCGACAAAAGGCCGCAGAACTCGCATGCCGCAGTCTCGAAGACAAGAGCAGCAATGTGCGCAGAAATGCCATCAAGCTTCTCGGAGTTCTCATAAAGACACACCCCTTCACAGTCATGCACGGTGCCCAGCTCTCTCGCAAGGAGTGGCAGGAACGCCACGACAAGGTGGAGGAAGAGCTAAATGCACTCAAGCCCCCTCCTGGCATGCCTGGATTTGGAGAAGAGAATGCCAATACTACTGTCGACAATGAGCTCTTGGACGAAGCTACTCAGGTTGATTCGCCTCAGAAGCCCAAGGCAATGACTGAGGAGGAAAAGGTTGCCGCCATTAAGAAGGCGCAGGAAGAAGCTGCCACCAGCGAGGCTATCGAAAAGTTGACTCTCACTCGACGATATTACAATGAAGCCCTTCGTTTCATTGATGTTTTGCACGACGCAACCGGCATCGTGTGTCAACTTCTAGGCGCCAGAAACAAAAGCGAGGTCATTGAAGCTATTGACTATTTTGAGATTGGCGACGCCTACAATATTGAGCAGAATAAGGTGGGCATTCGACGTATGCTCAGGCTTATCTGGACCAAAGGCAATAGTGACGAGGGCAAGGGTGTGCAGACTCATTTGATTGAGTGCTACCGGAGGCTCTTTTTCGAGGCCCCTGACTCTTTCAGCCCCAATGATGCAGCCAATTATGTTGCCCGCAACATGATCAGCTTGACATTTGGTGCTACGCCGGCAGAGCTCACATCGCTGGAGCAACTGCTTTCTACAATGATGAAAGGTGGTATTATCCCCGAAATCGTGGTGACCAAGCTGTGGCAGGTCTATGGTGTGCAGAGACGCGAAATCTCAAGGACACAACGCCGTGGTGCCATAATTGTCCTCGGAATGTTGGCTACCGCTAGTCCGGAGATTGTTGTTGATGAGATTGAGACCATGCTTCGTACCGGATTGGGTGCACACGGACGCGCAGATTTACAGTTGGCCAAGTACACTTGCATTGCTCTCAGGAGGATCAACCCTACGGGGCGCAACGCGAAGGAGTCGACGGCCAAGTTTAATAGGTTACCCAACGATCACGCCGTCCTCGGGCGGCTAGCAGCCATTGCCGAGGTTCAATCGGAGAGCAAGGAGTGGTACGGTGTTGCAGAGCAGGCCATCAATGCCATATATGCCATCTCCAAGCACCCCGATGTGCTCTGCTCTGAAATTATTCGACGCAAGACAAAGCATGTTTTTGCACAGTCACGTCCGGGATCCAGGCCTACTTCAAAAGACGAGACCAAGGGCGTGCCTGACATCACCATGAACCAGACAATGCATCAAACAGTGCAGGTGGACAAGCCCAAAAGCCGTGATAACGCTGTCAACCTGTCGCAGCTTTTGTTCATTGTCGGACACGTCGCCATCAAGCAGATTGTGCACCTGGAACTCTGCGAACTCGATTTCAAGCGTAGGAAGCAGGAGAAGGAGAAGCAGACGCCGGCCAAGACGGACAAGGACAAGGAGGATGCAGACGAGCTGGATCTCATTGGAGGCACCACCGAAGATGATTTTACCGAAGCAATGGCCCACATCAGAGAGCGAGAGTTGTTGTACGGCCCAGAATCACTCTTGGCCATCTTTGGCCCTCTAGTGTCGGAGATTTGTGCCAACAACACGTCATATGCCGACAAGGGTCTTCAGGCGGCAGCAACCTTGTGCCTTGCAAAGCTCATGTGTGTTTCATCGGAGTATTGCGAGACCAACCTACCACTGCTTATCACCATCATGGAACGGTCACCAGATGCCACAGTCCGTTCCAACGCGGTGATTGCACTGGGAGACATGGCAGTGTGCTTTAATCATCTCATTGACGAGAACACAGATTTCTTGTACAGGCGTCTCGCCGATAACGACGCGTCCGTCAAGAGGACATGCCTAATGACGCTGACATTCCTCATCCTGGCAGGTCAAGTCAAGGTAAAGGGCCAGCTTGGTGAAATGGCCAAGTGTCTCGAGGACGAGGACCGGCGCATCGCCGACCTAGCGAGAATGTTCTTCACAGAACTCAGCACCAAGGACAATGCAGTGTACAACCACTTTGTCGACATGTTCAGCTTGCTGAGTGCAGGCGGCAGAATGGAAGAAGAGAGTTTCAAGCGGATTATCCGTTTCCTGCTTGGGTTTGTGGAAAAGGTTCGTACAGTTGAACTGCCTCTTCTTTCTGGTGGGGTTCGAAAGTGTTGAACTTATTGCTAACAAGCATTCGTGTAGGACAAGCACGCGAAACAGCTGGCTGAGAAGCTGGCAGCTAGATTACCTAGATGCGAAACGGAGAGACAGTGGAACGATGTGGCCTTTGCGTTGGGACTGTTGCCGCATAAAAATGAGGAAATCACAAAGACTGTGTCTGAGGGGTTTAAGGTTGTTCAGGCCGCTGCTTGAAGAGATTTGAAGTAACTGATGCGTAATACGAATTAATGTAAAACATGGGAGGGACTGGCATGTGGAGTTTAGGTGTACAGAAGGAGTTGGCTTCAATTTATGTTTAATGACCAAACAACTTGACCACGCATTTATACGCGCGTGGTAAATCATGGCTAGGCTGTCTGTGGCGATGAGGCGTGTCTCTTGCTGTTGGAGATGAACTCGCTTGATAGCATGAATGAGCTGTGGTGTTGGGATCCAAACATAGGCAAAACGCAAAAATAAAATAATAATACCCCACTCTCGGAATTTAGCCGAGAGGTAGACAGGTAGGTGGTGTCTTGAGGTACTTGGCAAGATCGGGGCATAATGTACGGAGAATATGCGGTGTTGGAGTGTGGTGGCTATGCAGTACGTCATGAGATTGAACGGATGTTGTCAAATGAACAAATCTCGGAACACAGGGTAAAAGCACGGGCGCTGTATTATATAAAATTCCTGGCACAAGGCATCTTTGTTCATCAAGAGTTATTTGCCATAGACTCGACTGCATTAATTTTCTTTCTTTCCAATATTTTCCATGACGCCATGATGGGACAATGTCTAGGGTAGAGATAAGGAGACGAGAGTGAAGGACCAGAGAGGGCTGGCTGATGCAAGCGCGGCCACTCGTCAGTCTTGGCTGGTGATGGGCTCGATGCTGATTGGTCAGGCCCCACTGGTGTGCCTCGAGTGACTCCTCCTTCAGACTGACTCCCTTACAGCAACTGTGGCTGACAGACTTGGGGTACAAAAGGGCGGGGAGTTCCCAGGCTCGATCCAGGCCCAGTCCGGCCAGACAGACAGACCATCAACGCCAACAGACACTTGTACTTGGACCGATTATTTGATAACCGGAACTGGACCCCAGGAACGGGAAACCATGTCGGTTATTACTAGTACAGGTAGCTAGGTGAAACACGTACTTGACTGCATCTCAACGCCGCACTGGACCGCGACCGCACCGCAACTATCAAGCAGATTGACAAACAGCCATATACAACCATACCAGACCCTTTCCTCTGCTAGCGCCAGCACGACCCGTCAACTGTCCTTATTCTATATCTTATTTCCCCTTTAAAAGCTGAGAGGTTATTCCTTTCCACCGTCGTCACCTGACACACCACGTGCGTACCTCCCCAGGACCTATCAAGTACCGAAGTACCTGGGCATATTTGCACAGCTAGGCAAACACTTTGCCAACTGGCAGTCGCGCGTGTTTCTCCTCTCTGGAGTCTCCACCCTCAGAAAAGCTTGGACCAAGGGTCATCCATTCTGGCCAATCAGCCAATCACCGCGCCCTTGGATCGCGGTGGTCCTGTTCTTTCAAGTCTGCCGCTTCCGGGCAGGTGCGTCACGTTGTGCCTCGACCGTCATTCGCTCTGGCACTTGGACTTTGGGAGTCGATCGTTTATCCGACTCCAACAGCTTCATCACCATCCATTCGCCTTTGTTTGCGCCTCCGCCTACACAAGACACAACCACATCCCGACATCCCGACGAATTGCGCCCCGGCTCTCTCTCTTTGTTTCATTTGCAGTCCGTCATCTCATCTGGGCCGACATAGTAGAGCTGTCCCCGTTTGATTCCAAGCTCGACCACCCGAGTTCACGGCTTGCTCAGACACAAAGGCGCGCTCTGCATTACGAGCGGCGCATCGAGCGATATCTGCGTCGCGATCGCAACTGCAACTAGAAACTAGAACCGACAGGCCATGGGCTTGATCGACGCCCACGACACGAGAAGGATTGACTCTGGGGGAGATCGTTAGGTTCGTGGCGCCGACATCTACCGCACAAGGACACAAGACACGACACAACAAGCTGACTCGTCATTGTCGGCAGTGTGGATGGTGACGTCCTCGTCTGACATTCCGTTTCCGACTTGTTGCTACTACTATACCCCGGTATATACCTTCAACTGTATTTTTTCCATCTTATTTTCTTTTCACCACAACTGTTGTAATATCTTAATCCACCGCCTCTCCACACACCCAGTCGTATCATGTACGACAAACTCGTCTCGCTAGGCTCGCGCCTACACTACCCCATAACCATTACAAAACTTCTCAAGTCGCCTGGAGACTCTATTAAGAAACAAGAAATCATTATCGAGTACAAGTTTACCTGGCGGCGGAAGGTAAGCGACGATGAATGGGCCGACGAAACTACCTACACCGAATACGACAGCCCTGCCGAGGGCAAGTTGAAGGAATGGCGCATCAAAGAGGGCATGGTCATCAACGCCGACACGCCTTGTATGTTGGTCGAGGAGGCTTGTGGCCACGAGGTTCAGATCCAAGGACTGTGTAGTTTATGTGGCGCCGACATGACCGAGTTCAACTGGGCCACGGAAGAAAGGGATACTGATCGCGCCATGATCAACATGACCCATGACCAGACCGGTTTGATGGTTAGTGAGAGTGTTGCAACGAAGGCAGAGCATGATACGCAAAAGCGACTGCTTCGCCAGCGCAAGCTGAGCCTTGTTGTCGATTTGGACCAGACCATTATCCACGCCTGCATAGAGCCGACAATCGGCGAGTGGCAAAAAGATGAGTCAAATCCTAACCACGAGGCTGTCAAGGATGTCAAGAGCTTCCAGCTGAATGATGATGGACCAAGGGGGCTGGCTAGTGGCTGCACCTACTACATCAAGCTGAGACCTGGCTTGCAAGAGTTCCTCGAGGAGATTGCAACCATGTATGAGTTGCACGTTTATACCATGGGCACGCGTGCATATGCACTCAACATTGCGCGCATTGTCGACCCCGACAGAAAACTGTTTGGCAATCGCGTCATTAGCCGAGATGAAAACGGCAGCATAACTTCAAAGAGCTTGCAGCGGCTGTTCCCAGTCAGCACCAACATGGTGGTCATCATTGACGATCGTGCCGATGTATGGCCGCGAAACCGACCAAACCTTATCAAGGTCGTGCCGTATGACTTCTTCAAGGGCATCGGTGACATCAACTCCAGTTTCCTGCCCAAGCGGACAGACATTTTGCCAGCCCCCCCGCAATCCAACGGCTCGGCATTAGCGCCGAATAACAACACCAATGGCTCGAATGGCGCGTCGACTGATGTAAAGACATCGCCCCTTGAAGAAATTGCGCGAATGGGCGGAGCCGTGGATGAAGTTAGTCTGAAGATCCAAGCAGAGGAGCAGGAAAAGTCGTTGGAGAAGCAGTTGACAGACCGGCCCATGCTGCACATGCAAGAGCAGCTGGATAAAGAAGACGAGCTGTCCGCTCAAGATGCCGAGACTAGAGACTCGTCGGCCAACCATCCGAGGCAGCATTTACTTAACGATGACGACGAAGAGCTCATTGCGTTACAGGATCATCTCACTGACCTTCACTCATCATTCTACGAAACCTATGACCGAAGACGAGAAGAAAGACGACAATCAGAGCCCACACATCCTCCGGGGCACAGCAAACCGCGACGTAGATCATCCGTGGATGATGGAGTCGATTTATCCATGGTGCCAGATGTTGGTGATATCCTCGATGAGCTCAAGTCAAACGTTTTGTCTGGCCTCGTCATTGTTCTTTCTGGACTGGTGCCTCTTGGCGTAAACATTGAAGACTCCGAGATTGGGATGCAGGCGCAGAGCTTTGGTGCCCAAGTCCTGGATAGCGTATCTCGACGAGTCACCCACTTGGTTGTATCGCTGGCGCGGCCCAGAACGAAAAAGGTGCAACAAGCGGCCAAAATCCCAAGCATTAGGATTGTAAACCACAATTGGCTCGTCGATTGCCTTAGCCAATGGCGCCGGTTGGACGAGAGACCGTACTATCTCAATGTTGCGGCAGACCGCGAGCGATCTGATGATACCACGGAGGCTACGTCTGAAGCCGAAAACGTCGAGGCGGAAGCGAGGGACCTCAAAGACTTTGATTGGGCCACTGCGGACAAGGATTTGGAGGAGTTTCTCGGTACTGATAATGACGATGAAGAAGATGAGGAGGGGGAGGACAACGATGAGGAGGAAGAAGAAGGAGACAGAGACATGGACATGGGCGATACCGTTGAGAGTGGTGCTGAAGCCGATAAGGACGGGGACACAGACAGTAGCAGGACCAACAGTCCCATAAAGAAGGGCAAGAAACGGAAACTACCTGTTGAAGAAGACGAGTCGGACGGTGACGGACGTGGCATAGTTGGGGAAAGCCTTTTGGCCAAGAAGCAGCGTCTGGCTCGTAACCGCGGAGCATCCGGGCTGAGATCGGTACGAACGACCAATGGGGATGATGGCGAGGACGAGGGCAGCAGTTTGCCGACGCCTGGACCGACTAACGACGAAGCAACGGTGGTCAGCAACAAGGCAGCCGCCACGGAGCCAGCGCATGACGACGAGGGGGATGTGGATGACGATGAGCTGGAGAGAGAACTATTGGCAGAGCTGGAAGCCGCAGATGAGTAGAGCCGTGGACATGCGCGGTAGAGATGTACACGTTGGTCGATGTCTTTTTTTTTTTTTTTTTTAACCCAGCTTTTGTACTGTCCCGTTGGGCTGGGGAGTTTTGGGCCCTGCATATATGACCGAGCGGCAGCATGGACCGGACCGGACCGGATCAAGGATACATTGGCTGGTTTGTTAGCGCGTGTGTTTTGGGTGTATGGATGTACGGAGTTGGGTTCAGCAAATGAGGCGGGTTTCCACTCTGGATGTATCTGGTCAATGTGGTTCGAGTGTCTATTTTCCGAGGTGCTGTAGATGGCAATGCGACATGTGTGTGTGTGTGTGTGTGTGCAGTGAAATGAGCTCGCGTGTCAAGGGTTCTTGAATATCTGAGAAAGGATTCAAAGAAATATATGTACATTGGCAGCGATTGTATGTACTCCCACCAGCAAGAGTAGGTCAACTATGTACATGAAACCCGTGGTAAGGCGGTGGAGGGTTTTGTTTCCCACCGCCAAGTCGTGTCTGGTCGTATCTTGACCCGTTTGACGTCGTACGCAGACCCGTGTGCC